CTCGTCGTATATCACCATATTTAGCTGTAATAACAACAAGTAACATTATTATTATGATTATCATCATTTGTAGTCCCGTAACGGTAATATAAAGGAATTGGTATTTAAACCATATACTCATGAACAACTAAAGAGTATACTTATTCAAAGATTAAGTAGTACTATATCCAATAATGCATCATCTAGTAGCTGCATAATCGATGATCATATAACATGGTTAGATTTGGCTTCTAGAAAGGTAATAGCACTAATACTAATATATTGATGTTAATAGCAGGTAGCAGCAATCCATGGTGATTGTCGTAAAGTCCTAGATGTATGTCGTCATACCATAACTGGACAAATTAGTGATAAAAAGATGGAGGTTACTGCAATGGATACTATCAAGGTAAGAACAACAACACTACCAAATGCTGTAGTATTATTATAGTGATATGTAAGGTACTCAATAAGTGTTATCGTAAAGATGATGATAATATAGCTAAAGCTCTAGAGTATCTACCTTTCCAACAACAGGTATATATATCATACTACTACTAGTACTAGTACTGTTATTATTATTAATAGGTAGTATTGGCTTGTTGTCTTACTGCTATGGGACATGATAATATAGAGGCTGATATTCATGTTATTAAGGATCATATCAATAGGTAATAACAGTATTACATATATATTATTATTATCATAGATACATGAACATACATAAAATGCCAAGTGTAACATGGGAAGTATTTCATGATCATCTACAAGCTATAGCTGTAATACTACTAAGCATAACAACAACAACAAGAAGAACTACTATTATTATTATGATCATGTTATCAGGGTCATGGTTTGATATCAATATTATATCATCATAAATCTAAAGGTATACAGCAACAACCACCACCACCTACTAGGAGACGAACTACTATAAGAGGAACTAGAGGAGGATCAGCATCATGTACCTCGGGTGGTCAACAACGAGTCAGGTATGTTTATCATCATCATCATCATCATCATCCTAGTATTACTACTAATACTATCATAGGTTAATAGCGCCTTTCGACACTTTATTACAAGGAATATTGTCTAATCACAACAAGGAATATTTTGCCGATTTACTATCACCACAACTTGTGCTGCTTCCCCCCCCAACCAACATGCAACAATAATTAATCTGTTTAATGATACTACTACTCTCATTATTATTATCCGATAATGATTTGTCTCTACAATGGTAGATAATATAATTACAACTTTTATCATCATC